TCCTGTCTCCAGAGCCTAACCTTCTAGCTCAGTTATTAACATTGAATTAACAGAGGAGGAAACTCAGGTGATAGACTTGCCAAAAATTAAATGATCCAAAGAGTGAAGTCAAATGTTCCCATTTGACTTCAGAGTACATTCAAATATATAAATATATGTGTGAGCACATGCATGTGTGTGTTCAATGTGCACCAACATGTATGCATTCAAATATATACATTTAAACATGTGTGTGTATATACATGGAGAAACACATATATACACACATAAGTATGTGCCTTGATATGTGTTTGTTTGAATATAGATACACTGATACTTGTACACACACATACATGCACACACAAAAAATTAGGTACATAACTGGCATGGGTAAACAAGCTTCGTATGAAATACTTTTCATCAATAATCCACAGCATGGATAATTAATATGAATGGCTGCGAACACGCGCTATTTTTGATCAAGTAAACAATATAGTCAACATCTCCCAATCCCTTCCCACTTCGGGAGGAGGGGGAACTGCACATTTCTAGGAATAACACAATTCCTCGATTTGGTCTTTGATAAGTTTATTTTTAGGTTGTTGTAGGTTATGGGTATATCAGTTGCCAAACATATTGTAGTTGTTGTCTCTAGAATAAATTCATTGCCTAGAAAATTGCCTTCCACACTGATGACAAATGAAAGCTCCCAAGTTCCTCAGGATAGCTAACTAGTAATTACAGAACCCTGCAAGGTGCCCCAACACCACTTGATTTTAATGGCTTGTAGTGTTTTTTTAAACTATTACCTTTTATTCAATCATTATTCACTAATTTTTTCCTAAAATTTGTGTCTTTCAGAGAAAATGGACATTGGCTGCTTATGAAAATATTAAAATGAGAGCACCTTCAGATGTCTAATGGCACAATGATCTCCTTTTGTAGGTGAGAAAACACACCTAGAGACTATCCATGACTCACCATGTTCTCCTGTTTACTTACACATTTCTGCATAGGTTTCTGTGATAGCTGAAACCTCCTTCGATGGTTTATTTTGAAGACTAACTCAATATTGAAATTTGACTCTGTGACTTGTATCTGGTGTGATGTCCAATAAACAGCAATTCCCTTACCCTTTCCTTGAGTCCTTAGCTATTATTTTCTAAAATTTTCTTCAGTTCACACTTGGTAAGTTAACCTACTTACTTACACACATATGAGGTATTGATCAAACACTTTATTTTTGTGTTTATTAAGACAGACATGAGGGGATTCCTTTGATGTTTATGATCAACTAACTACTTCCATGGTTACTATGGATCTACGCCTAAACTTGGCCACAGGTTTTTATGTAATCTTTGTTGTATTTTTTCCCTTTACCATTTAGTCCCTTTATACTCCTCTCCCCACCCAGCAATCACAACACTGTCGTCCATGTCCATAAGTCCTTTTTATTTTTTGCTCAATCCTTCCACCCCCTAACTTCGCACCCCCTCCCAGACCTGTCAGCCTGCTCTCTACCTATGAGTCTGTCCTCATTTTCCTTGTTAGTTCAGTTTGTTCATTAGATTTCACATATGTGTGAAATCATATGGTATTTGTCTTTTTCTGACTGGCTTATTTCACTTAGCATAATGTTTTCCACATCTATCCATACTGTCACAAAGGGTAAAATTTTCTCTTTTTTTGGCAGAGTAGTATTCCATTTGGCAGAGTAGTAAAGGTCCCATAGTTGTTCTATCCACTCATCTACTGATGCACTTGGGCTGCTCCCATATCTTGGTGATTGTAAATAACACTTCAATGAACATAGGGGTACTTATGTTCTTTCAGATTAGTGTTTTGGGTTTCCTTAAGATATATTGCTGACCGAAATTTTTTTGCTTTGTTTAATATTTGTAGTAATTAGTTTTAGCAGTTTTAGCAGAGCAGCTAAGGCTTTGAAGGATTAATTAATTTAACTGAGGTTATTTAACCAGTAACTTATCTAGAATTGTCAGAATAATCTATTAACATCATCCAGAAAATGTGTTTCACTTAACCACAAATAAAACAGGATTTTACTTATCTAAAACAAACAAGCAAAATAACATTGTAATCAGATAATCTCTGACTTAACTTCTACTTAATTGCCTGATCTAGCTAATTTTTGAGTGTCAGTTTCTTTCTCGGTTGAGCAGTATATATAAACTACTTGCATCATATTTCTGTCAATATTGAAAGATAACTGTGTAAAAATGCTTTATTAATTTATAATCTTCCAGACTATAAACCCACAAAGCATGGTCATATATTTATTTCTGTTTTTCCAGCATTTGGCCTAGTGCCTGGCCCATAGGAAATGCTCAATAACTATTTGTAAAATGGAACTGAAGTAAATAGTACTGTATACTTGTGAGACAATAATATTCTTTTTCCACAAAGTCTTAGGCCAGGTGACAGCAAAAAACTGCCACAAGGCTCCTTTCAGTTCTCTACCAATTTCTAAAAAAAAATTAAAATGCAATTTCTGTTTTCCAAATTTAGGAAACTTGAGGACTTCTGTTCAAAGTGTTGTGATGAATTAGAAAATAGCATATTTCCATGTTTGATGTGCTGGTCCAAAAATTCAGATTTGGGCGTCAGCTCAGTCAATTATTTATATTATGTAAATTTGAGCATCTGCTCTGCCCTCCTCCGTTTCTTCATATGTTCCCATCTACTCCCAATAATAGCAATAACAAGAATAACGGTAAATTGCCCTTGGGCCAGAACCCGAGATAAACTCTTCTGACATCATCACCCCTTTTAATTCTCACATCGACTTCATGGATCTGGTGGAATTTTTATGCCCTTTCATTCAGAAGAAAACTGGAATGTAGAGGTGTGTCTAAGACAACTCAGCCAGTCAGTGTCAAACCCAGGTCTGCCTGGTTCAACCTTCTTAACTAAAAACTCCATGGACTCCCTAAGCCTGCTGCAGTACCATCAACGCTCCCCCAGACATTTGATGGAGCAAGAGAAAGCATGAATGTAATCAAAGAATAATAAATAGTAATATGATGATAATAATTACCACTTATTAAATACTTTCTATGGACTTTAAATGTATTATCTTATTAATGAACCATACTAATCCTATTAGGAAACTGTTGCTATTCTTGCTATTTTAAATTAGAAGCAACTGAGGCTTTGCACTGTTAATCAATTTAACAAGTTATTTAATCATAAAGTTACATAACCAAAACATAATCTATTTTAAATAATAAAGCCAGTGCTTGTAATTAAAGCACTAAACTATAATCCAAAGTTACATAGATAGGAAAAATAATCTTGAAGATAGGATACACCTGTGTTAATAAAAAATTATTTTCATAACCATAATTCCATGTTAAAACTTTTTTCTCAAAAACTCTAAAGATATGTGAGATGACAGCGGTGACATAGATTTAGGCCTTCTCAACGATAGACTCTTTCAAGCAACGAAGCACTCATCTGTGACCTAGCCTTCATCTACATGGCCTACATAGGCAACACGTGACAGAAAGTCCAGCTTTTTTCCAGAGAGAATCTTCTCTCGGACTATACTCCAGAGCTTGGGTAGGGGCCAGCCTGAGTCATAGAGGCAACAGGGTTTCATATGTAAAAGACAATTTGAGAGGTGTCAAAAAGTACTCCTATTTCCACCAGCTCTGGCTGTTTGCAAATATGACATCTTTATGTACCTACCAGGTAAACAACCACTGAGAATAATTTCAAACCTTTTGACTAAATCAATTAGTTCAAATCATACCTCCACCATTTACTAGCAATGTGAGCTTCAACAGGTCACTCTACATCTTAGCTTCCTAATTCATAAAATGAGAATAATAATAGTGTCTCCTTTTAAGGATGGTTTTAGGATTGAATGAATTAATATATGTAAATCACTTAGAAGCATGACAGTACATAGCATCCTATAACTGCTAGATGTGATTGTTCTTATCTGTACGTTTATCTTTATCTCCCTGTAATATTCTTTGCAAAGTAAAAATCCTCTTAATAAGGGTCAAATGATGTGTGGACATGATTCCTTATTACAAATGACAGGAAAAACCTAAATTATATAATTTAATTTTATAAATTATGGTATTTTAACATGGAATGCTAACTAGCCAAAACATGTAGTTATGGGTTATGGGCAGATGAAGAAAAGGAGTGAGAGAATGACTCACTCTGTATTTTTCATTTCTTAAATATTTTTCTAAGATTTTATTTATTTATTTTTAGAAAGAATGGAATGGAGGAAAATAGAAGGAGAGAAACATTAATGTGTGGTTGCCTCTCACATGCCCCCTCACTGGGGACCTGGCCCACAACCCAGGCATGTGCTCTGACTGGGAATTGAACCAGCAACAATTTGGTTTGCAGGCCAGCACTCAATCCACTGGCATACCAACCAGGGCTGTTTCTTAAATATTTTAAGCCAAATCTCTCCCTTGATTAGCCAACTCTTTTTATTAAACTTTATTTTTATCATCATCATTATTATCTTTTAATCATTAGCATTTTATGTAAGAAGGATCTCTGGAAAGTTTTAACTAAAGAAAACTGAAAGAAAAATATCAAGAGAAGAGGTGTTAATTTTTTTTAAGTTAGTAGGTTCACCTAAATTTTGGATAATATTCTGTCTTTCTGTGGTCCACATCTCTGTGGTCTGATGGCTTAGATTGCTCGCGGTACTAGATTCTGTAAACGAGGAGATGTGTTTTTCTCAACTGCAGATTGTGTAGTTGATTGTTTCAATGGCAGACATTGGTCCTTCTAGACTTCTAGCTACCTAGTTTAGACCTTTCAAATCTTCTAGAAGTATCAGTTGAAGTATGGGATGCATACATTCTCTCAACAGACCAGTCTGTGCTCTGCTGACTGCTCACGGGAGTTAAGAGTCCTAGAAAGTTAATAGATGACAGTGAACAAAAACTTGGATGACCAAAAACACAGCACAATGTTTAATAAGACTCACAGCTTTATTTCTGCTAGAAAAAAAGGAAGGGGAAACAGTCTCCTTTTTTTTTACAAAAAGTTTAAACAATTGTTTTGCTTTATCTAATAAAGTCCCTAGAAGAATGAAGCCACCCTGGATTGGAAAGTAGGCTCTTTTCAACCATCCTACATTCCCAAATGTTCATTCAGTTATAAAGTCCTTCTGAATAATCCCAGCAACTCTTGGTTCATGGGAACCATATTCCCCAAAAGCATAAAGAGCCAATTCTTCAAAAATAACTGGCTTGTTTTAGGATGACAAAAAAAATTAAAAATATTAACTTGCATAGCCATTCAAATTATTGCTGATTTTTATAAAATCACTGCAGGGAATTTTGCACTAACTTCCTCCTATTTTCTCATCCCAACTCAGGATCCCCAGAAAAATTAGGAGCTACTTTCCAAATGAAGCTTTAAGGAGGTTTTACAAGCACATATATGAAATCTAAGGAATTTGCATTAAAGGAAGGGGAAAATAAATTAAATAAATAATATCTAATATATAACTCAGACAACATTTATTATCTACAAACCTAAACACCAGAAAAATGCTAGCTTCAAGGATAGATCCCCCCAACCTCCTCTCACAAAGGAAAGTGTCAGCACAGACTCAAAACATGTAGGATGGCTTTGGATGCTTCCCAGAGGGTTTACAATCAAGGGTAAAAAAACACAGCAGGGTTGGTGCTGTAAGCAAAATGGAAAGAAAATAACTTAGATTTCAAGGAGGTGTAAATAAGAGGGTAAAAAAGGAAAAATGCACAGATAGTTTGGAAGGTTCTAAGCAATAGCTAAGCTGTAGAAAATGACTTACTCATCTGTCTGCCTTAGCACTTTTATTCATTGTCCCTATTTGTGTACTGTGCATCCTAAAATTATCCTCTTTGGCAGGAGCAGGATGTGATCCACTATCACATAAACCATTTAGGCTTTTAGTTTGTTTTAAATAATTGTCCTGGCAGATTGGCCAGGAAGGTAACATTTCTCTGGAAAAAAGATACATTTGACAAAACTGGTGCTGCTATTAAGGAAGGAGGGGAGTTACATGATGAAAAATAAACATCCTGTGAATCAGGATAAACTTGTGATGAAGATAGAGATTGGTAAAATCATTCACTGGCCCTGGTTCTGATATCTGCATTGCTGTCTGGTTACTCAAAATATTATCTACAATTAAAGTATATTTTACAAGTGAGAAAGAGGTAACAATTAGTGGAGAAGGAGACAGAATTATATATGTGTTGGAAAAATTAAGTTCAGCCAATAAATTGATTGGTGCTCGTGCTTCTAGAAAATATGGTATTGGTGTGGACAGAGGTCAGTGATTTTAAACACGTTTTCTTTAACCAAAAAAAAATTCAGCTTTTCAAAGGAAATCTAGAAGGTAAATCCCGACTTACCTATGGGCAGGTGTGAGCTAGAGGGAGTCTCCAAGCTAAGATATAGCCATAGTTAATTTAGCCAACAGCCATTTCATTACATTGCTCTTGAATGTGACCTAGGTTGTTTGCTGATTCCAATAATAGCACCTGAGCTTCATCAGAATTTCCAGAGCCCTCCGGTTAAGGAGGCCACGAAATGGTCTAGATGGTTCTCTAAGTCCCATTGGTCACAGGAGTCTGAGGTTTCAGTGACTTTATTACCCCATCTCCAGTCCTAATAAAAGTGCTTTTGAAATGTTGTCAAGAATCAAGTTGATATAAGATATCAATTATGGTTCTCAAATTACTAAGGAAGTTATGTTCAGCTTTCAGCCCAACAAGAAATAGTTAATCTCTCAAAGAACATGTTTTGCTATTGACAGCGACAGCCGACTTAGAATTTTAGCCTCTGGAGGCTATCTTTAGATAGACACAGAAAAGTCCCAACATTTGGTCCCCAGGAGTCACGCACCTGGTGCTCCTTTGGCAAGTCCATTCGACCATCGACACATAGTGTCCATCTCCTACTAGTCCTCCATCCTTTCAGTTTCAAGAAGTTTATAGAATTTCAGTCACCAAAGTTACAGACTTTCAGAACTATGAAGGACTTTAGAAATCATCTAGACTGAGAACAACTGCTTGATTTTACCAGTAAGTGAATAGAGGCCAGAAATGGAAAATTAACTGGCATAGGTCATTCAATAAGTTATTGGCAACACAAGAATAGGACCTATTTCCACATTATTGTAAACATGAAATAACTTCACATGAAGACCCTAAATAAAGGAATCAATACGATTTGAGAAGTTGATGAGAAAAGAGAGTGCCAGGTGTAGGAGGGCCTAAATGGACCGGGACTAATGTATTTGATATATATCTATGGGGTTCCTTGAAGGTCATTAAATCTTCAGCTCAACCACTTGAATTATGGAAAGCATCTCCACATCATCCTGAATGCTGATCTTACTGCTCTAATCAGTGAAGATTGTATTGAGTTGAGCCCCAATGCCATGGTGGGAGTAGGAATCATAGGACATATCTATGGGAACATCATAGCGAGCGGTACCAGCTTGAAAGGAAGTTGAATGCACATGCCCTGAGCTTAGACTTGCAGAGGGGTAATGTGGCATGAAGCTATAGGATTTATCCAGGTCAGGAGAGCCATCTTGTTTCAAGGAGAAGTTCCCACTGATGCTCAGGGGTGGAGTAAGTGGGCCCTCATAAGGCGGTGTAGTGCAGTCTGGTGGATGATTCCCAAAGGATGATTCTCCCAAAGTCTTGAATATTGGGGGTTTCAGATTAATAAGATGTGTTTCCATATGGCCATAAGGAGGGCTGGGGAGCCCAGGAGACTGATAGTTGAAGTTGTGGACAGAGATGGCAGAGTCACAAACAGCAGACTTCTCCTCATGGTTCTCCAGGAGGGCAGACTGTGGGCCCAGTTGGAGGCATCCAGCCACCAAATTGCTAGTGGGCTGAGAGAGCCCTTTACAGAGCATCTCCACAAAACTCTTCCCTTCAGGTGTCTGGCCAGTTTCCAGGACCTCAGACAAAGCCCAAATATAGTTCCTGGCCAGTCTAAGAGTCTCTATCTTAGAGAGCTTTTGGGTTTTAGAGTAACAGGGCATGACTCTCCTCAGGTTGTCCAGGGCATCATTCAGGCCATGCATCCGGGTCCGTTCTCTAGCATTGGCCTTAACTCTTCGAGCCCTGAACCTCTCCAGGCGAGCTTTTGTCATCTTCTTTTTCTTGGGACCCCTTCTCTTAGGTTTCTCCCCATCCTCTTCCTCCTCTTCTTCTTCCTCAATACTGTCATGCTCTTCAGCTAAGCTGCCAAGCATCCCATAAGCAGTTGGTTTTCTCTCCTCCTCCTTCATCTCATTCTGAGAACTCAGACTTTTGTCCATCCAGGATGGCGTGTTGACCAACTCTGTCATCTCCTTGGGTTTCACATACGCTTTTGCCATTTCTAGGTTCTGGGAAAGGAAACAGCAACGTTTAGCACCTCTGAATATTTTATTTGACTTTAAACTTTTTTTTATACCTTGGATATAAAGTACAATATTTGTACTGGGATTCAACTTAACAATTATCTAGTTCAAGGCCTCCATTTTAAATAATTAATATATAAGAGTCAAATAAATTCCTAGGACACTTATTTTGCTATGGCACATTATAAGAAAATAAACTATAGAAAAAATTGACTTGATTATTCATTGCAGTGTAAATGCCTAACTGTTTTTATTCTCAGGTTTTTATTCATGGGCATCCTAATGCAAAACAACTGGTAAGCCAGTCAAAATATATTTTCTTTTTTTCCAGAATTCTGATCATAAAAGGAAATAGAGTACATGGGGTATATAAATTATTGTCCAAATAGAGGAACTTCTGCAAGTGAAAAAGGATGCTAAAGTAACTATAATGATAAAATATGTCTATAATAATTATAATTATTACAAAATTTAAAAGCATATCAAACAATAAAATAAGTAAACTGTTGCATTTTTACACCATAAAATAAATAAAAAGCTATAGTGAGATTATTCAGACTACTTTGTATGTATTCTACAAAGAACTTCCCAGCCTCTCTATGTAGAGACATAGCACATGTATCTAACCTATAACATCCATCACTTCCCACTGACTCTGCCAACTGCTGACTTCAAGCATCTCTTAGGAAGAGCCATGACACAACTGGTGGGTATACCACATAGACATGGAATAGGTCTCTCACCATCACCAGAAGAGCATTTTGTTATTCAGCAAGCATTTTGTGGTCTGTCTAGTGTTTGTGGTGTTAAAGGTGTCAGTGATACGATGTCAAAAAGGTTCAGGAAAAGAGAGAGGGTTACCACTGATCATCTTTCAAATTTGCTCATATGTTAAAGTGAGAACACTTTCCATTGTGCCTGCATCTCACATCATCAGAAAAGAATATAGCAGCTTCTAGAATTACAAGTCACGAGTCTACTAAACCTATTTAAGATTATTTTAATGCAACTATTATAATGATACTTCATTAAAAATGAAAACTCTGGACCAAATGCTAAATTTAACAGAACACGGTTATTGTGAACATCAGCAAGGATGGCTTCAGATAAACACTAAAATAACCTGACTGTTTTTAATTCACTTAACAGATACTGTTTAATCAAATTTTTTTCTGAAAAATTTACAAGTTGAAAACATTTGGAGCCCTGGCCGACGTAGCTCAGTGGATTGAGCGCGGGCCTGTGAACCAGAGTATCGCGGTTCGATTCCCAGTCAGGGCACATGCCTGGGTTGCAGGCCAGTTCCCAGCAGGGGACTCATGAGAGGCAACCATACATTGATATTTCTCTCCCACTCTTTCTCCTTCCCTTCCCCTCTCTCGAAAAATAAATAAATAAAATATTAAAAAAAAAACATTTGGAAACCAGAAGAGACTGTGTCTTAGTAAACATTTTATACTCAGTCCTGGAAGAATGAATTGTTTTGAGATCTGTTGAGTGATTTCTGGGTGTCTAATTTACCAAATAAAAATATCTGTTAAGCTCCATTGGGTCACCTTAGTTTACCAGCTAGTCTTTGAAATGTTAAACCCTGCATCACCTTCATATATAAAAAAGAGGAGAGCATAATATTTTTTTTTATCTTTGAAGCTTGAGCCTCAAATCAATGAATGCAAGGATTAGGACATAGCTTTTAAAAATATAGATATATGATTTGATTTGTTTCTGGTAATCTGAGCTTGTTTTCCTTGTAACCTCATTTACCTCCTATAAATAATTAATGTTACTGCTTTGCAAAAACAACCTAAGTTTCATGTTAATCAGCACGGAAATCATGTCAGCTTGACTTACTCACTTAATAAGGCTTTCTGGGTAAGCAGCTTTATTGAAAACACACATTGGAACCTATTGGTCAACTGGCTGCCCAGGCCAAGTCAGAAAATCCCACTTTTAATATGGATGATAGAGCTTGTGTGCTGAGCTGCACTGCTAACTCAGGCAGCTACCCAGCAGGAGGGTGAAGGATCTAATTAACTTTCTGTAAAAGTAACACAGACCTTTCAATGGCAGGTGCACTCTGAGGTCAGTGAGGACAGAGTAGGCTTGGGAAACCTAATGTTCCACACGTAATTATAATTACATTTGCATAGCCTTATAGCAAACCTTTGAGGGAAATGAGGATTGTTATGCTCATTTTACAGTCTATGTCACTGTGGGTCAGGAAGGTTCAGTGATGGAAATGTAAAGACATAGAGCTGGTAGAATAGGTCGTAAAACCAGTTCTGATTCCAAATCCTAGGTTTTATGTCTGTTTCTTTCCTCTTTCATCACAGCTACAGAAGAAAGGCACTTTGACTTCAGGAAATGTAGATCAGTAGAGCTAAGTCACTAGGAAGTAGCCACCAGCCAAAGCTAGGCTAGTTTCAGTGTTCTCTGCAGTGTCTCTTGGCTCTCATATTCCAGGATTCCTTCCTCTTCCAAATATTTTCCTTGTTGCTTTCACCCATTTATTCCCCTTGCTCTTACCCTCTGCTTCCTTTCCTCTTCTTCCTCTTTCTCCCATGTCCTTTTATCATCATCATGACCACTGAGACATACTTACATGCATTGAGAGGTGAGGAGGAAGATGCAAGGGAGGAGAGTCTACTGAACTGTTCCCAAAACTGAACCACACCCTAGCCTCCATATTTGACCTTTTTTGTCATCCTCACCTCTCTACTTCTGGACTCCAGTCAAATTCTGTCAATCCTCACCCCCATCAAGGAGCAAGGCCAGGAGAAGGGAGTAGACTAGCTTCTGTTTTTAACATAATTTGATGGTCTCCATAAGAGTCAGAGAGCTGCTTTGAAATCAGATTGTTGGCAGGTATGTTGAAAAAGAACCAACTGACTTTGGTTGAAACAAGGGGAACAGCAACCAAGTGTCATCTTTGTTCCTCTAGTACTATGGAAAGGATATAGGGGGTTCCAGTTTAACTTCATTTTTTCCCACATGAAGCTGAAATAACACATACTCTTCTGAGAGTTCCAGCTCTTCTAATTCCTGCTTACTAATCTCAAACACACTACATACGCTCTCTGATCTTCCATTTCCTATTTGATACAATGGGGATAAGATATATTTTACATGATTCTTGAAAAACAAATAAAATATGAAAAAGAATTTTGTAAGCTTTAAGTCTGTAAAAAACATTATCCATATCTTTATCATGTGTTTATCTTTGGGTTTTCTAATCTAACCCATTAACACATATTTGCTTGTTCAAAAATAAATATTGTTTTTCACAAGTGAATAGTAAAAGTAGATTGTATTGACTATTGTGCCTCTTCTGGTTGGCTCAAAAGATCATCGGCTAACTGCCCAATATCCCACCCTTTTCCCAATGTGCCCAAGCAGCACAGACTCTGGGGTCAGATGACTTGAGTTCAAATTTCAGCTTAATTACTTACTAGATGTGTAAACCTAGGCAAGTTTCATAAGCTCTCTAGGGCTCAGTCTCTTCTTTAAAATGGGAATAATAATAATCTTGCCTCATAGGATTATAGTGAGCATAAAATGAGCTATTACATGTAAAGACTTTGAACAGTGCCAGACAACATAAATGCCATGTGTTGGGTGTTATTTTTCCTAAAGTTCACCATGAGTTTTTCTGGCCACAGGGACAAACACTGGGTATTATTACAATCTATGCCTAATTCTGTCAGCATAATTAAAAGTTATATTGATTATATGCCAACAAAACCCTGCTTTACCTCAACTCCCACTTCAAAATAGTCCCTGATTTTCAACCTCAAGGAAACTAAGTACTGAAGCTCCTATTCTGTTGCAAGGGGTGAGGAAACAGAGTTCTATCAACTGCCTCTACTGGACTGACTACAACTTTTCCACCATATTCAGGAAAGAAGCTAGACTCTTCTATTCTGGTTTATAATTGGGAAGCAACAGTTGGCCAGATACTCCTACTCTGTCACGTGAATTTTCAAGTTCATGAAGTTTCTGGTGGAATAGAGACAACTATTGGCACTTGGGCAGTGTTCCTTTCATCTTTGATTAAACTATACTGGAGATATGGCTTTCCTACCAGAATCAATGCCAGAGCTCTGAAGGAAAAAGTGAAGTGTCTCTCAAAAAGAAGTAAAAGCCAGGACTTTTCAAACATAAATCCAAAAAAATTTCCTTTGACGTTTTCCATCTAAATATCTTCAATACATCAAAAGATAAGCAATAGGGAGAAAGAAAAATATCCAATTTTAGATCTGAGTTGAAAATGTATGTGTTGAAATTCTGAGTTTTGATCCAGGAAACCAACTTGGTTCTCTACAGAACGGGTACCTAACTCTACCACGACCTTTGGCCTGTTAATGAGCCAGCTTAGAGATGTATTAAAGGAAGCATTAAGCTGAGACCTTCTTCCACCACTCATCAATTAAATGAGAACATAAAAGTTATTTTAATTCTTTTACCCTTAGGGCAGAGTGAAATAATATTTTTGTCATATCTCATTTAGAAGCTTTTATGAAAAGTAAGGAGATAGTACAAGTACTTTGTAAAATTATTGTGCAAATATGATATTTGGCAACTGTTTCATAGAAGCTGTATAAAAATCTATTGCACTATTTCACGACTATTGTGGTACATCATTTTGAATTTCCATAATTCTTAGATAGTAAAGTAGCTTTCAAATTATACCTACTGGCAATTCCAGTGTGACCAAAATCAATGAATACTGGCTCTGGAGGCAGAATACAGCTCCCCTGGCCCTCCCAATACATGCCAGTCCTATACAGCTCACTTCAGCCTTTGACCTTGGAATTTGAATTTCCTTATGAATTTATACAATATAACAAAATCCTCCCCTTTCTTTAGGATCCTTCCATGAAATTTTAAGTTTAGCCAATTCTCTCATAGTTAAAATTTTCTCCCACTTTTTAACTGTTTTAACCTATTCTAATAAAGTGTTTGCTTAGGCAATGATTGTAACTACCCAGTACTTTTGTTACTGGGTCTGAAGTCCTTGATTCATTACTCTTGGGTAGAGCTCTCCTGGAATTTATCCTACACTTTTACTAATTTTTTATTTTTCATGGAGAAGTTTTAGTTGATGAATAAGTGGGTAAGGAGCACTGGCATGTGTGCCTGTGGTGATTAGACAGTGTCTTACCTCTTTTTTATTAAATACTTCATTGTTGTTCTATTACATTGTTGTCCCAATTTTCCCCCTTTGTCCTCCTCTACCCATCCCACCCCCCATTCCCACAGTCAATCTCCACCCTGTTGTCCATGTCCATGGGTCAATAGTGTCTTACCTCTTAAAAGCTGACTGTATTCTCTTCACCTCCTAATCCTATAGCTAAATCCTAACACAACAGGAATGGGAGTATTCAGCCCAGTTTCTAGGGAATCTAAGGACCACACAGACTAAATGACTTACTCAGAGTTTGCACTGAAAAGATAGAATGGAGATCAGGTTGCTCACAAACTGCACTGCCTGAAAACAGCTGGTTGGCTGTTTGGCACTTTCTTATAGAACCTTTCATATTCTATCACCTCCCTCTTGATTAATACCTGCATGTATACATGCACACACTCACACGCACACATGAGCTTGCACGCACATCTTGTTCAGCCTAGCCATGCCATACTTCACTTTTCATAACCTTAGTTTCTAATGGTGAACTTTGCAAACATAAGTTACTCAGTTCTTTAGTTTTCCCTCCATGTTCTCCAGCATTTCAATTCTGGTCCCTCTGTCAAAAAATGAGGGAGGCAATTTACATTTATTAGAATTGTCTGAATATATATTTGGGGTGGGTGAATGATGTGTGAGAGGCAATAGAGGTTGGTAGAAGGCACAAATATGCATAAACAGTCTTTCCCTTCTGATTCCCTAACTGAAAGAACTGAGGGAAAGGAAGTTCTCCCCACTCTATTCCAACTAAGGATTTTTAGCAGACCAAAGGGAACAATGGTAAGAATACCCTAGTGGCTTTAGAGCATCTTTTCTCACTCCCTATTCTATTTTTTCCCCTTCCCCTTCCTCCCCCTCAACTCCTTGCAGAGCCCCAAATGTTATATGCAGAGTGGTGGATCAGGTCAGTTCTTCAAACCTACTTGCTGAATCACCTTGAAAAAGCAATGAACTTTTTAGAAATTTTTTCTGCACTTATAAAATGGGAGGGTGGGTTTGACAGAAGTGGAGGACAGATTAATTGTAATCTCTACTGTCAAAAAAGTGATTGAGAATATCTGAGTTTCACTTTGGGTGACAGGTATTATTGAAATTAGTGAAGTTATTAACATTCTAATATCTGTCCCTAAGTATCTGACTCTCTCTGCTTCTCTATTTGTTTCCTAAATCCCACTCCCTCCTCCCAGAGCCCAGAAGAGACTTACCTCATCCCAGCTGCTGCTCTAGGTCTGCAGAAACGTCCCACAGAAACTTCTGCAGCCCCTGTCCCACCCCAGCCGCTAGCTCACCTCTGGCAGTGGCAGTCCCTGGCGTGAACTCTGCGAATCTGTGTCCCTCCGGAGGAGACCTAGAGAAGCCAAGTTCCCCTGACCGTCCAGGTCATAGGAAAATGAGGTGCTTTTAGCGATCCATGTTAAATCCGGCCACTGCCTCTTAGAAATGCCACCAGGTCTGGTTTCTCTGGCTGCTATTTATTTTACTCCTTCCTTGGAGCTCTGTGTGCTCCTCCAGGAAGGCTTTGGGCTGATGTTCTCTTTGCAGCTGGTTTAATCGGTCTTCAGTACCTCCTATCCCTGGTTAGTTCCTGGAGTGGAGCTTTCAGGACCACGGCCTCTGGGCAGCTCCTGCGCTCTGGCCGGAGTCTCCAATTACAACAGTTTTGATTGCTTTCCCAGCTGACCAGGGAGGGGTGATCCTGCCCGCAAGCTAACTCCTCCCCTTCCCCCATCCAAAAGACACACCTACTTCAAAGGATTCCTTTGGCTAGGTCCAGTTTAGCTGTTAGTTTGTTCTTTCGTTTAGTTAAATGCGAGGAGAGTTGCTGAAGTTGAGAGGTAAAGAAAAAGAGGACTGGAAATCTTTGTGGTTAAAAAGGTAAGAAATGGGAGTGGAGCAATGTAGGCAGAACGGTGAAAGAGAATTGGAGAGAGACTTGGAGAGAGAGCTATGACGGGCAAATAGAAATGCTGACCCGCTTATCAAAAAGTGAAAAAGATCCATTCCCAGAACACAGCATCATTCACCTCACGTGTGTGGTTATAAAACTTCAGAATTCTAAAAGTAGAAGGAAAAAGTAACTTCCTCTCTCTTCAACATCAAACTATTTCCATTTAAAACCTTTTCATTTTATTTAGTAAATACAGACAAAGCCATATCTATATTTGTTGTGTTGTTCTTTCAACTTTTCTTTGTTTAAAATTTATAAAAACAAAAGGCAAATGAACGGAATTTTACATTTTAAGAATGCTTAGCTGCTCAAATTACAAATGCATCCACTGTTGTTTTTCAAAATAAACCATTAAGCATTCAGGTAGAAAAAGTCCACCTAAGTGGTAATAAAGTTGAAATAAAAAAAGGGGGGGGCACATAATTCCTAAAATGTCTGTCATATTATTTGCTAGAAAAGGAAAAGAAAATGCAAAATGTAAAGAAAATACGTGGGTGTGCTTATGACAGGGAGCTGTGGACCGAGCCACCAAGTCAAAGTGCAGCATCTTTGTTTTAGAGATTGTCAAATTTGGACTACCTCATGTAAAATTTGACCTTGATGAAATGATTAATTGTGAGTTCATTTTTAGGTGTAAAGTCGTTTGTTATCTTTTAGTGATTCCAAGGAAGAAGGGAGAACATGCTTGGATTAAGCATTTTGCTAAATGATCTTCAGTAAATCATTTCCAGCATCAGTTTTCACATCTATAAAATTACCTGATCACTTAAGTTTTTTTCATCTGTAGCAAAATAAAATTCTGAGTCCAAACTCAACCTCTTTTTGAAATTGACTTGAAGGAAATTTCCCAGGCTTTTTGGAAATCATTTGCTCTACCAATGTAAGTGGCACATGTGTCTAAAGAAGATGAAAAATTGTAAATATTTTTGTGTGTGAAGAAAGGTAGAGAAGGTTAAAACAAAAAAATTGTTTTATTGCCAATAAAGCTAAAAGAAATACCTTAAATTTGAAATAGTTAAGTATTTTAAAATTCTGGCATAGGTATCATCTGACTCTTCTTCTTCATAGAAAACAAGAAAATATAAATTGACACTTTTTTTTACAGTTTTCACAGGGAGGCCCTCATCTTAACCAAATCTTTAGACTCTTACTAACCTTGTTTTTTATACCTATTCAAGAAATCTATGCTCATCAAAATAAACTTTACGTTTAGAGTAATTAACACATGCTAAGAATGGTGGATTTCTGAAAACCAAAATAGAATTCACTCTTCGACAATATGAGATTTATCTGTGTAGTAATTGATGTTTAGAATAGAGCTGCAATAAGTACATATAGAATGGATTGATCCCCTGCTCTGTGTTTTCAAAGTCACTTCCATGGATATTTGAGGGTTGATGACACTGGTGATGTTGGTATTCTGTCTATGAAATGTTCAGAGGGATGGAAGAAAGATGAATATATTGAGACAAAGATAATGGTAGGGACAGGACATTCTGTGGGGCTCCTTGCTTTCTCTGAAAATATAAGGGACTGGACATATTAGGATTAGCTCTCAAAATACACCCAATTATGTGTGTGTGTGTCTGCATGTGCAATCTTGGGAAGGTGTTGAGGAGGACACTGAATTTTCTTGAAGAGCTGCCTTTTGAAGAGGAAAGGATGGAACCTACTTCATCAGAATCACTCCCATCACAGTTCCTCTCCTTACGCACTGGGCTGTTCAACTCTGAGAGCAGGGACAGGAGCAGTGTGTGCAGTGCAGTCTGCAGAGGAAAGGGGGTGGGGACTGAATGCAGGTTATTTGCATTCATTCTCCTCCCCCCACTTGGCTCCTGGGCCAGAGGGCCAATCTCCAGCCCTGCCTTCTTTCTCTGCTGCTTTTTGTAAAACTCTGAGGTAACCTGTTAGAACCATCTGCTGGGTGGGGAAAATGTAACCAGTGCTCAGTTACCGGCCCATAGCCCGGGAGCCATTGAAGCAGAGAGAAGGGAGGCAACAGGCAGATTTATGGGCAGCAATCTGTTCCCCACACCCGGAGGCCCCTCTGCCAGGAGACAGCTTGATAATCCATCAACCCCACTAATGAATTAATTATTATTCCCAGTAATCCCGACCCCCAAAGGAGACCGGCCTGTAGGCCCCTAAAGGGGCTAGAAACTGCCTTCTTCAACCAGACACTGAAAACCGGGACCAATGCCTGACATTAGGCCCCAGGGTGCTAAGCTGCAAGCCACAGACCCTGTTGTTAATGATCCCCAGATGTCCCTCCTCACCTTCCCTCAGGAGACAACTAGCTTTTGCTGAATTAAAACCAATACCACCAACAAATAAAGTCCAGAGCCATAAATCGGGGACAATGGAAGGGAGGGCTGTGAACTTCCAGAAAGTGAGGATTAGAACTGTCCATATTCAAGACAGACTGGATCAGATCCTAAAGCTGCTCTCCAAGAGTGAGCACAAAGTTGGGTTGGGGTAGGGATGGGGGCAGAAGGTAAAAGATGCACAGTCCATAACCTCTAGAATCTCAGTGTTCCAGTAGGGAAATGAAGCAGGGTCAAAAATAATTGTGAAATGAAGTGATTTGTAACATGAACCTCTCCCGAATAAAGACTGGAGTAACACAGAGTTGTCAGCTGAGTTTTTGAATAGTCTGGCATCTAGGAAGCTCAATAATAACCCTCCCTTAAAACCACAACTTCCATTGTTTTACAAGACTTTGAGACTCAATTGAGAGAAAAAAATGCTTAGGAGTAAGGGAACCTGTATTTCAAACCCTAGTCTGCCTTTGACTATGTGGCCATGCTGAGTGATGTAAGCTATATCACATCATCAGTCAGTAATCAGGGTAGATTACCATCTCTCCAGTTCTTTCTGGCTCTAACACTCAGTTATGATGCCATAGTTCAATGTTACAGTCCCCCTTTGAGATTAACACTAGCCCATTCAGAAGTGTGCGAATGAGTGTCGAGATCTGAATAAGGAAACTAACCAGGTTAGTAACAAAAGTGGGTCTAGAAATCAGATCATGGACTTGGGTGCCTTCTCTCCCCCCAGATTTCTGGTCTCTTTTGGGAAGGACACTTGTCTCAACCTTCTTCCACCCCATTTATTAAAGGCCTTGGCATTTGGGCACTCATGGGGCATACAGAGTGACTCATTTCAGCTGCAAAAACTACCTGGGTTTGTGAAAAATTTGTTGAAAAACTTCACCTTTGAAAACTCTGTGCCATCTGCCTCCAGCATCTTTCTCTGTACTTGGTATCCCCAATTCATAAGAGCAAAGTTCTCTAGGATTCATTTAAATCCTAACATTGCCATTGACTAACCATGCAACTTCAGGCAAATTATTATTTATCTCCCTGTGCCTCAGTTTCTTCATCTGCAAATTGATGGCAATAAACTTGCTCTGAGGAGTATATATCTCATTAAATATGAGATAATGTATATAAAGTACATACTATAGAATCTGGCTCTTAGCAAGTGCTTGATAAATGGTAGTTATCGCTGGTATCTTGTCTTAAACATTTAAATCTGATTTTTCATCTTTCAGAAATGAAGAATAAAACTGTCGAAATTTCCTTATAGAGGTTCTATCTGTTTGCCTCAATACAAGTATTTCTTTTTTATAGTAATGTCCATACTATATTCATTTACCCAACAAATGTGTTTTATGCACATATACAGCACTAGGCACTGCAAGATTCTGGAAATGCAGAGCTCATTGAGATTTCTCATTCCTATCCAACTTCCGATATAGTGGCAAGGGCAGAAAAACTAATTATGTAAATATATAATTTGAAAACTCCACTTCTCTGTGTCTTTCTAATATAGTTACATGTGCTCAAGGAGCCATGTATGAAGCAGAGATGTTCATTTCAGTACTGTTTTAACAGTGAAAAAGTACATTATATTATACATTATGTAACCAATATTTAGCGAAAAAAAATAGAAAGTATTTAGTTTGTGATGAGTTGGTATATGTATACTAACAAGAAATGTACTTTAGGTATCAACATATTATAAGGAGAAGTGTAAAACAATTTTCAGGAATGTAAGTTCAATATAACACACTTAATTTAAAAATGTAAATATTAAATGATAGCTATATTATTCACACACATACAAGCTGATAACAGTGAGTCTTTTTCTAAGGCTATCTCAGTACTGAGATTAAGAAGATTGAGATTTGTGTAGTTATCAAAGGAGATTTCTTTCTATTATATATGAATATGTTATAAAGGTAATATTGATATTAAAATATGCTCTTTTAAAATTGGCACTCCCCACTCATAGCCAAACTTTTTTTCAGGAAACATCTGTTAGCCCCCAACTCCAAACACTGAACTTGACGATATAACTCTTCCACAAAAAGGTCAGCACACCAGCTCCACCAGCTCTGCCCTCATGCATGCAGTCCCAGAGCATTTGCTGGGTCTTTTGAAGACAACTTTGTTGAATTTAAGAAGTTTCAATCATGTGATTCTCATGGCTCTGAGAAATATCTGGTGGAGGGCAAAAGGGATTTCCTAAGAATCTAGCCATGATTTATATCATTGGAAGAAAATTAAAATAAAGAAATGAATAAAACCAAGTCTTCTGAGAGGACCAAACAGAGCCCTGTGTCTGCCACCATCAGGTCACCGGTGAAGCTCAGTTCTCCGGG